TACTTATATAATAATAATGATGATAATGATAATAATAATAATAATTATTATAATAATAATAATAATGGGATTAATAAATTTAACTAGCTTTCCGAAGATGAGGGCATTGTTATGTCGGTAACGTCTCGGACTATCATGGCAGCAACTTGCCAAGCCATTTCTTCTTTCGATTTATCTTCGTTTAAGTTGACTAATTTCTTAACCGCCTTCGTAATTCTCGATTCTGAAAAAATATTAATAATAATAATAATAATGAAGTAGGCGTATTATCGAGAGATAATTACAATCGTTCAAAAAAAAAAAAAAAAAAAAAAAAATTTAATCGAGACCTTCTTTTTTATCCGGTTCCGGTTCCAAATCCGTTTCGAATCGTCCCAACGAATTTATCCTACCGAAATTCAAACCCGGACCCCTTTTGGGCCCCCTTTGCCACAATAAATCCGGATCGTATAACTGTTGCGTGTCGATATTTAAAGATGACGGATTTAAATGTTTGTATATTTTTTTATGCGTCGTCGACGTGTCTTCGGATGCCAAAAGGGTATTGATTGTCGATATACTTATATCGCTTCCCCCATCCGAATCTCCCGAATGTCTCGAACGGGACGATGATCCGACGAGTGAATTCGTTTGAATTGTCGATATCAATTCGGATAAATATTTAAAATATAATTGAGATTGAAGAAAGGATTGGAAGTAATTGATTTCTAATATTTTAAGTATGAGTCTTCTCGGGTGTTCGAAACAATTTGCCAAGGGTCCCTCTTCTCTGCATATGCTTTCTTCGACTTTGATTCGAATGTCATCTCCGACGTTTAACGGATTCGTTGCCTGAAGTGAAAAATACCTAAAAACATTTACAATACATCTAATTTTCATCTCTTTTTCCCTACAAACTCATCTTGTTCACACTCACTTGTCGTAGAGAACCATAGCATCACTTTGAACCTGATTCGAATTGTAATTTTTTCCCTCTTCTTCGTATTGCTGTTGAAAATTCAATGCTGATATACAAAATTCCAATAGATTTGTTCCACCCTCTTGTTCTAGAAATTCCATGAAATAAAACAATGCAGTATCATTGTATAAAATATCAGATATGGTTACTTTTTTACTCGTTAGAACATCTATTTGGTATTTACAATGACATTCGCTTCTTAGATAATCGTTATAATGACTGAAAAAATAATAATAATAATTTTTAAAATGTTAATCACAACCATGTATCGAAAGGTGTGAAATTCTTTATTGCATTATTATTATTATTATTTATCTTCATGTGCAATTAAATTGTTTTTCACCTTCAAGGATAAATCAATTATACAAAATGATTTAATTATTTGTAAAAAAAAACGAAAATAATGAAATTAATAAATAAATCCTTACTCTTTTTCTATAATATTCAAAATATATTGTTTAACTTCTGTAAATGAATCCTTATTTAAATTTTGATTTAAATTTCCTAAAAGTCTTTCATATATTCTAGAATCTAAATTAATTTTAAATGGAGCTTTGTGACTGAAATATTTTTTATATATTTTAACTGCATCAGCATAAATATCTGATTTTTTAGATAATTCTAATAACCTAGACAGTAATTTATTTTCTTCTAATTCTATTTCTTCTCCTTCTTCTCCTTCTTCTTGTATTTCTATTCTATTTAATTTTTTTTCACAATGGATTTTGTTTTTTTTTTCACAGCCATCATCATCAACAACAACAACATTGTCATGATTATTTAAAACAATCATTTTAGATAAATTATCATTATTTTTATTAAAATTAGAAAATTTTATATTATTACTATTATCACTAATTATTGTTTCATTTAAATTATTTATTACAGGGCAAGAATTATTATTACACTGATTTGTTTTTAAATTCGAATAACTGTTCATTGTCGCGAGAGCCGAATTAAAACTTTCGACATCTAATATAAATTTAATCATTGCCCCACATCCGACTGTTTCAAGATACTGAATAAAATATGTAAGAGCTTCATTGTCATTAATTATTTCTGTTAATGTTTTCGAAAGACGAGAAGATGTAACTTTATATTCGCTTTCTTTAAGTGATCCTTCTAATTCTTTTATTTGAGGACCTAAATCTCCAACAAAAAAACCACCACCACCACCACCACCGCCATTGTATGTTGGACTGGAGTGATTTCTTGGAGTGGAAGATGCTGAACTTGAACTGGACCCAGAATTTGCAGACGTTTCTTTCCGACCTAAGGTAAGTAATATTTATCATATTAATATTTTACGACGACAACTCTAAGAGATTTTAAAAGTAAATATTTCCTTTATAAACACATTATAATAACCTCATAAAAATTATTTATATTAGGATGCCAAATAAAAAAAAAAATTAAGGAAGGAATTAATTAAATTGACATTATTCAAGGTCTTAACCTTATTAAATTAAATTGAATAATTTGTGTTCAATAAATTAAATTGAATTTTATTCTACTATATCAATCGCGTTAAGTAAAATACGCAGTGAATAAATAATACAAAAGTAAAGATTTCAATAGGAAATTTTTAAAAAACTGTCACCAATTCAAATTATATATATAAAATCGACTTAATTATAATTTAATTAATAAAATCTAACCTCAATATGTTCGTATACAAAATAAATGTCAGTGACATTTAACAAAATAATATTTGTTGAACGTAAAAAAAAAAAAAACAACAAAAAGCTCACCCGTTTTTTTCCAAAATTTTAACATTTTTCATGTTAACTTAAACGTATTGTAAAACAAACACAAAACCTTGATTAATAACAAACGAATTCATTATTTTTTTTTTTTTATTTATCTTATTATTATTTTCAATTCACATCAGCTGTTAATTTTAAAAACTAAAAATGATGTCATAAATAAAATAAAAATAAAAAATAAAAAAACAACAAAGAAGATGATGTGGCCCCGAAGGCGTAAGTCCCCGAATACGAGTTGATCGTAAAAATGCAACGTTGCGTAAGAAGAAGAAGTAGAAGAAGAAGATTTTCAAAAAAAAAAAAAAAAAACCGTTAAAAAATCAAACAAACGCGTGTGTTGTAACTTGTGGATTTTTTTGTTTTTGTTTTTTTTTTGATTAATAGTGTCGTGTCGGTCGGTATTATTCTTTAAATAAGTTCACGGATATATTAAAATTGTTTCCATTAAATTATTTTAAGGTAAGTAATTTTTTTTTTATATCAAAATAATTATTTAAATCAATTTAATTACATGGTATACATATTGATTGATTCTTAATATTATTAATCTTCATAATATTTGTTTTTTATTTTTTCTTTTTGTTGCTACTATTGTTTAATTTATGTCGTTTCTAATAGTTACATAATTGACAAAATTGAATTTGAGGTTTTTTTTTTTTTTTTGTAACAATGCCTCCTTTTTTTGGTTTTGTATTATTGTTCAGGATAACAGGTTTTCCATCTTGAATTATACTTTAAAATTTTAACAAATGATTCATATTAATAATTTATTTATGAGAAAAATTATTTATATATATATATTTCCAAGTAAAATAAAATTATTTAACAAAACAAAACAAAACAAATTTCTTTCATAAAACATTTGAATTTATAATTAAATTTTTTAAAAAATTTCTCTTTCATTCACACACACACACACACTCATTCATAATAATAATAATAATTAAGTAAAAAAAATAATAAACAAAAATTTTCAAATCAAATTTTTATTTTAAAAAAAAAACTTTTAAAAAAAATTTATATCAATAATTTATATATATATATATATATATATATATATATATATATATATATGTATATATATTAAATTTAAATTTATGCAAAAGTTAACAAACAAACAAAAACAATTTATTATATGATGTAATGAAGTTTTTTTTTTTTCACAAAACAAAAGTTTTTTGCGTTTCATTTTGAATACAAAAATATAAATAAATAAATAATAATAATTATTATTATTTTATATACCATATAATAAAAATTTATTATGCAAAAATAAATAAAATTAAATTAAAATGTCATTTGTGGTAGCAAAATAAAAAATTATTTTTCTTTTATTATTATTATTATTATTATTATTATTATTATTATTATGAATAATGAGAGATGTTTTGTTTTGTTTTTTATAAAAACCATCAACAAAGTTTTAACTCTCATAATTTTGCTTAATCATATGAAAATATAATTATGGCGCCTTATGAATCATATAAAAAAATATTTATTTATCTTAATGATGATGTTTTTTTTTTTCATTTCATTTCATTTTTTTAAAATATTATTATAATTTAAATAAAATAGTAATAATAATAATAATAATTACAAAGAAAAATATACTTATGTCTTTGTTAGCATATACATATTAAAATTATGTCATATTAAAAAAAAAAAAAAATTTCATAAGATTTTTATAATTTAAAAAAAAAACAAAAACTTATGGGCAACCTTCTGACCATTTGAACATTTTATTTTTTAGATAACAAAATTCATTTGGGGTCAGTTCAAAAAATAAAGGTCATTTTAATTTTGTTTTTATTTTTTTAATAAATCTTTCCCGGATTTTAAATATATTATCATTATT